TTTAAAAAAAAAAAATGACCAGACATAAATTCCTTTTGCATCTATCATCAGTTATTTCCACCACTTGATACAACTTTGTCCTGAAAATGGCTTTTTAGTTATAACCTCTTTCAATCTCCCAGATATAAGTCTCCAGAACCCTGCTTTGCCCGTTGATACCACACGCTTCAACTCAAATTTCCCATTTTGGTTTCCACACTTAATGACTTCTATTAACTCTGGGGACATGAAACAGAAGACTTCTAGTTTTTAGCAACCTTTGTCTTTCTATAGCTTACGATCAAGTAGGTCAATTCTGATTGTTACCATGATGCCACACCTTGCCCAGTGTAACATCATCACTGCTGAGCTCAAATCCTTACAATGCTAAGTCCACTGATACAATAATGTTAGGGAAAATGGGAAGAAGATGGTTCTTCATTATTTCTGAAATTTGATTCCCTTCCATTAAGAGGGAATATTAGTGCAACACTCTAGATTCTTAGCTCTTTCCTTATTTCTCAAATCTATATGATCTGATTACCTTATAAGAACCAGATATATGGAAAAGATCTGTGCTCATGTTGAGGAAAAAAAGAAGAACGAAGATTTTAGGAATTAAGAGAACAAAGCAAGGACCTCCATGGAACAGGCAGTGCAAGGAGCCAGGGCAGAGAGGAGAGGGCCCTCCCTCCATACAAAAGCTGAGCAAAGAGAAAGAGTAGCTATGCGAGCAGAGTGAGTGAAGGTGTCATCTAGGGATCTGACGATGTTATGTCAAGTGGACCCAGTCACTTCCAAAGCTGTGTGGCTTTTAAGAAGGGCTTCCTTAAAAAAAAGAGCTGCTTCAGAGGGACCTGTCCCTCACTGACCGACTGGAATCTCAATTCCAAAGACTCCCATCTGCCTGGTTTTCTTTCATTCACCTGGATGGCGCCAACGTGGGTTCTCCCCCTCCCCCATCCATGGCTCTTGTCCTTGCTCTGCCTTGAAGATCGCTTTTGTTTGGGTAACTGGGCCCCCTGTTCATGGGAAACAACACAGAACTGGAGACCAAGTGCTAGAGACAAACGACTACCTCACAATTCAGGTCTGTCTCCTTGAGTCTCAGGGCCTGGAAAGGATGACAAACAGGCTTTAGAACAGAAAAGACCCTTCTCCATTTGGGAGGCAGAAGCATAAACCCTCTATCTGTTTATGCGTCATCTCAAAGGGGATTAAGAATCTGTGACCACTAACATTCAGAGCCAAACTCAGGAATGCTTCAGAATGTCCACAGCTTCCAACAAGTCCTAAAGGCAGGGCGCTAGGAGTATATTCTTAGTTCCCCTGATGAGTTACCACCCACTGTCCTTACCCACTGAGATGAGGTTTCTAAAGTTCTCCAACATCACATCCCAATACAAGGTTCTCTGCTCACAGTCAAGCAGCTGCCACTCCTTTGGGGTGAAGTCCACAGCCACATCCGGGAATGTCACTGATCCCTGTAACAGCACATTCATCTTCAACCTGTAGTGAGTACCGCTGGGGAATGTGGAGGGGACTCAGAGCAATTCCTCTGATTATGTTCATTGTTCTGAATTTGCAGTAAGTTATACAGAGTAACTAAAAACTACTATATACTTGACTCAGAATTAAAATTTGTGAGAAAAAAATCATATACAAACTATATACCTATAAACACACATGTATATATACACAGATATATATACATCCATATATATGGGGAGGGTGAGAGGAAGAGAAGGAAAAAGAGAAAATATTAAGTTCACTGAGCATTGCTTCGGTCTCATGTATTCTGTTTATACAAAAGGACACTAAACAATGGTCATATGAAAACTGCTACTGCATTTACACAAATCCCCTACATAATAAATACCCCAATTTTTCTTTCATAGTCCGTGCCAGGCAAACTTTTATCTGTGGAATTGTTATACCTTATTCTCTAGGACAAGGCCAAGAATTCACTGATTGGGTATCCTTTTTCTATGACTGCCAAGATTAAGCACACATTTGCATCTCAACATTACAAACAGTGTGCAGACCCAATGGTCTTCACATAGGCTAAGTTTGTATTCAATTTAAATGTCTGTCTAGGGCGCCTGGGTGGCTCAGTTGGTTAAGCGACTGCCTTCGGCTCAGGTCATGATCCTGGAGTCCTGGGATCGAGTCCCACATCGGGCTCCCTGCTCAGCGGGGGGGTCTGCTTCTCCCTCTGACCCTCTTTCCTCTCATGCTCTGTCTCTCATTCTCTCTCTCAAATAAATAAATAAAATCTTTA